TGGAGAAAGACCTCGTGTTGCATGCGCGTGTGAGCAGAGAACTGCATAAAATGCTGGCCATAGAAGAAGACGGGGACCTTTGGTTCAACAAGGCCTGCCAGTCCGGACGCATAGCCACAGCCATCAAGGACAAGGGCAAGAGCGTCGTCTACATGTATGTTGGCGGAGGGGCAGTGGACCACGAGCAGTCTTTCCTCTTGGGCGGCATCGTAGTTATCTGCAAGAGCTGGAAGTGGGCGGCTTTGGTGTATTCAGCGGTGTGAATTGCGGGCCTCGCGTGCAACAATTCGGTAGGCCCCTTGGACTCCGCGTTGGTGATCTCCGACGAGACCGAGCCAAGCGAGTCTACATCTGAATTCACATCTGCGACGCAATCACCCGTTCAGGAGTTCCGCAAACTGACTGAGGAGACGTGGCTCGGCGTTGGTGCATTAAGTGACGCGTTTACGTCCGATGTCGAGGCGCAGGGGCGCACTGGAATGGCCGAAAGGGCCACGCACGCCGACCTGGTAGGCATCGAGTTAGCATCTCTGCAAGATCTTCATGAAGCAGATGTGAAGGACTTGCTCGGCGTGGGCGCTTAGATCCCCAGTCTTTCTGCTACGGAAGTTGCCGAAGCAGGAGCGGTTTTGGTGCGTGGCAGTGATAATCGGTGGAGGACGCCGACGGCGACGACGTTGAAAACGTCGTTGGCGACGACGACGACCACGACGACGACGACGACGACGATGACCGCTCGACGACGACGACGACGATGACGACGACGACGATGACGCCGACGCGGAGGACGACGACGACGACGACGACGACTCGACGACGACGTCGTCACGACAACAACGACGACGACAACGAGAACGTGAATGGCGACGCCTACGACGCCGACGCCATCTTGGCGAGCTCGAAGATCCCGAACGAGAAACAGCGCCAGTTTCTCGAGCACTTCGTTCGACGTTTGAAGATTGAGTGGCTGGAGAAGCAACAGGGCAACGTGAACCAGAATTCCGGGGAGCCCCTGCTGGACGTAGTGCACGGATTTCCGGGCACCGGGAAAAGTGCCGTCATCGGCTGGATGCGGTATTTAATGGAAGAAGGTCTCGGTTGGGAGCACGGCGTTCAGTTCGTGTGCTTGGCGTTTCAAAATGCCATGGCGGCGCAGATCAACGGCCACACGGTGCACCACTGGAGCGGCATTCCTGCGCGGAACGACGACGGGAATGCCACGGGCGACAGGCGCAAGCAGTCCATGAAGTGCGGAGCCCTGCGCGTGTTCACCATCGACGGGGTTTCGAGGGCACCGAACGGGTAACTCCTCGTGGTGTGAGTCGTTCGGGCTCCTCGTGGTGTGAGTCGTTGGGGCCCCTCCTCCTGGTGTGAGTGGTTCGGGCTCCTCGTTGTGCGAGTCGTTCGGGCCGCTCGTCCTGGCGTGAGGCGTTCGGGCCCCTCGTGATGTGAGTCGCTGGAGCCCTCGTCCTTGTGAGTTGTTCGTGCCCCTCCTCCTGGTGTGAGTCGTTCGAGTTCTTGGTCGTGGGAGTCGTCCGGGCCCCTCGTCCTGGTGTGAGTCGTTCGGGCTTCTCGTGGTGTGAGTCGTTCGGGCTCCTCGTCTCATGTAAAGGCGCCCGCGTGGAAAATCTGGTAACCCTCTAGTGCACCCCATGCGGTTCCATGCCTGCATGGACGGTGGAGGCGATGAGCATAGCTCAGCCCACAAAGACTACGAGACATGTTCCGTATGCATTATGTCCAGGTGAGCATGATGTCAGCGGAGCTGCTGGGCACCCTGGAACGAGTGGTAAGTGCCGCTGTCCGGGTGAGGGGCACGTGCAAGAAGAGGACGGGGGAGTCGCAGCGCGCCCTCGGGGGAGTGAACGTTGTCATGTGCGCTGATTTTTGGCAGCTGCACCCCGTGACGGGCACCTTCCTGGCATCCAACCCGCTGGGCGTGCCGGCAGGGTGCGCGCGCCGCGCGTTGGAGCTTTTCTGGCAGGACGGCGTCGACAGCGTGCGATCTTTCTGGCAGTTGACCGAATTGATGAGGTGCGACGATGAATGGTGCAACTCGTTTCTGGGCCAGTGCAGAGTTGGAAACCTGAGCATGGAGGACTACAGCTCCTTCCACGGGCTCCCGACGTTGACATCCCCGTGCGCTGGTAAGTGCGGTTGCAACGACGACGTGGTGAACGACCCAGTACTTGGCCCGTATCGCAACACTTGGAAAGAGCGCTTCTCGGGAGGGTGCGCCGACATGGCGGCGCTGCTCAAGTCGCCAGAGGGCGAGTGCGCGGAGTGCCGTGCGGAGCGAGGCAAGAGACACAGGGTGCTGACCGACACCGACTCGCTGGCGCCAGAGCTTCGCATGAACCCATTCAGCGGCGCGCCAGCTCTGTACACTTTCAACGTGCCCAGGTACTTCGCGACGAACGTGCGCGCGAGGGAGTTTGCGAAGCAGAAGAACGTTCAGCTCTCGTGGTGCTACGCTCGAGATGTGCCGTTGCATCCAGGAGATCGCGATCTGCCGCGGGAGAAATTGGACGAGAAGTTGTTCTCCTGGCTGAAAAGGCACGACCAGGAGACGGGCAACATTCCCAGCATCTACCCATTGGCCAAAGGCATGCCAATTCGGTTGACGGACAACGTCGATCGAAACAGACAGCTGTACAGACACCGGGAGGGAGTGATTTACGGATGGACCATGGCTCCTGAATGCACGCCACAGGAGATCGATGACGAGTGCATCCTGGATAGGTTGCCCTGGGTTATCTATATACGTTTCCCAGAAGCACAGTGGAGCATAGGGAAGCTGCCGACGGGCGTGTACCCGTTGAAGCGGAGATCCAGGACCTGGAAAGTCAATGAGCACACGGGCATCGAAGCTCGGCGCACGGGCTTCTGGATTCTCCCCGACTTCGCCTCCGCCGCTCACATGATCCAGGGGGCGACGTTGGAAGCGGCATTCGCGGACCTGCAGCATGGGTCCAGCAGGGCGTCCATGACAGCTCAGATTGCTGCCTGCGCATGCTTGTCCAGAGTGAAGCGATTGCTAAACATCTCCGTCATGCAGCCGTTCTCGACCTTGCTGTTCGGCCTCGGCAGCCCAGTGGGGCCCGAGCGACTGATGCGGAAGCTGTCCGGCCAGATCATTGGAGACGAGGCGATCCATGAATGGAGTACGCTTGATGACGAGGCCGCTGAATCGGAGAAGATGGACCCCGCGGCGAGGAAGCACCTGTGCGCTTGCTGCTACCTCACAGGGAAGCAGGATTACATGCTCGACGCCCGCGACTTCGGCACGAAACCAGCCGCCGACTTCTACGAGGAGTACGCGTCGCAGGGGAGGTGGGCGAGATGCATGGACTGCGCGCGCGAGGTCGGCGCAATGCCTTCTCGGGCTGCGCGGGCGGCCGAGGCTTCCCAGATAATGCCCGATGGAATCGCTGCAAGGACACGCCCGCCAGACGATTCACTATGCAAGCGGTGTGTGGAACGTGATGACTGGAAGAAGAGCCTCACCCCGCAAAGCCACGGGTGCTCTGCTTGCAAAGAAGTTTTTGATGCAGGCGCGTGGGGCGCGCAAATTATGAAGCACCATCGGCATTCCGATCGAGACCTCGCGTGCCCGGGCCGCGCAGATCGAGGGTTCGCGCCCGGCAAGTACGACGAGCACCAGCGCGAAGATTGCATGGAGCAGTTGGGCAGCCTGGCGTTCGACAAAAACGTGTTGCACAACGCGAAGAGGCAAGAGAAGTCCCGCTTGGTCTGCCTGGACTGTCAGACGAAGCTGCGGTGCGGGAAATGTACGACGGCTTATGAGCTGAAGTACTGGTCGAAGTCTGAACGCAGGGCAGGCATCACGCGTCTTCTCGGGGCACAACTTTGGTCTGCAAAGCATGCCATGCGCTTGGATTCGACCCGTCTGACCTGGAGACGTACACGTGCCAGAGGTGCTCTTGCAGGTTCGGCGCCCGTAAGTTCAACCAAACGCTACTGGACAACCACAAGCATCACAATCGCAAGAAGCTACAGTGCAAGGGGTGCGTCGCTGACATCGACGAACGAGTGCGCCACCTGCGCAAAGCGCTGCAGAAGAGCAAGCGAAAGTGCAAGTGCCATTGCCGCATTCACCAGGCCCAATGCCCGCTGACCCCCGTCTTTTTCGGAGAGAAACGCTGGCCGGGTTCGCAGGGTCCCCACGGGCGGGGACCAAGCGCACCCACCCAACGCACCAGGCGCACACGAGCGCCCGCGGGCGGGCACCGCACGAAATTTCGGCACGCCAAACTATTGCGGGGTGCCCACGGGCGGGCGCATGCCGAACACCCCGGCGCACCCACTTGGTGCCCTTGCGGAGGTCCTGCACGAAATTCTAAATGCAAGCGTTGTTTGGGGAACGCATCATATTGTGACGGTTTGGGACCCGAGGGCAATCCTTCTTGTGCCAGCGCCACGGCGGCGGGTCCGTGCGATGGGGGTCGAGGGCGTTCCCCCCCCCCCCCCGACGTCGTGATCGAATGTTGGGGACCTTCCCTTCCGGCAGTTTCCACCCTGTCCGCTCAGCTGTTTCTTTCCCGGTGCACCAAGTTCGCGCCGCGTTGACGCGACGACGATCCCGGCGCGGGCGTGCGCGGTTGCATGCCGCCAATTATCCCAGGGCGATCGTTCGTTTATTATTATCGGAGTGTCGCGATCGTTTTAGGGTGAATGGTCCACGCGGCGCCGGGAACACATGCCGACGTCATCGCGATGTTCACATGCCGTGCGTTTCCCCGTCGTGCCTTCGGGGGGTTGGGCGTTCGTGCTGTTGTTGCCCCCCCCGGAATTGTTGTCCCCGTGTTTTCCTCCGCCTGCTTCTTTCCCTTTTGCGCAGGTCCTTTTTCCATTGGCAGGGGTGGACCGGGCCGTTCGTGATTTCCTACAGTTGTTTGGACGGGATAGTAACAGTTATATCCCACGTGGAAGGTGTATGAACGTTGAGAGGACAACACAACTCTTGTTGCCCGCCCGAGGTGCGCGTACGCCCACGACCCACAGGAGATACGCCACAAACCCGACCTGACGAACACCAGCATGTGTAGGACCTTCGCCAGGGAGGGCCGGTGCACGGACACGGCCTGCCGGTACGCCCACAGCGAGGTGCAGTTGCGGGCGACGAACGGGTTCTTCAAGATGAAGATGTGCGGGTTCTGGCGCCCTGGGCAAATCTCGGTTTGTGAGGACCGATGCCCTCTGGCGTTTCGGGTCCGATTCAGACCTTCTGGGGCCCCCTTGGGGAGGAGGAGGAGGAGGAGGAGGAGGAGGAGGAGGAGGCGGAGGAGGAGGAGGAGGAGGAGGAGGACGAACAGGATAGGACCGAACAGGCCAGTGGGCTCTCCGAAGTCACAGCGCCGTCTGGGACAGCCTGAGTGCCACAAGGGTGAAATATAGTCACCTACGGATGGTTTTCGGTATAATATGAAGTGCCGCCCTGCCCTGCACCCGCCCTAACCGGTGGACAAAAAAGATGCGCCGCCCAAACCAAACACCGATGCCCAGGAGGCGGGGGAAGGAGGAGGTGGAACGCTTCACGCCTCGACAGGTTCGACGGCGTGTGCGGGCGTCTGCGTGTAAAGTGCACAGGTCTGACCGCAGACATCTGGCGGCCTCCCTTTGCCATGGATGGGGTTCGATTCGGATCGGCTCGACCGTGCAGTACAGGACGGTCAATCTGCGGACAAGCGCAGCCCCTGGACAGCCATGGCATGGGGTCAGAGTGGACAGACCATGCCCTCACGGTCGTCGTCGTTGTTCCCATAGTCTTCGGCGGTGGCATTTTTGTTCTCGTGGTCATCCTCATTGCCTTCTCGTTGTTTTTCACGTCGTCGTCCGTTCCGTTGTTCTGGTCCCCACTGCCGCCGTCATTGCCCCGTCCCATCCCCGTGCGCGTCCGCTCGACCCCTCGGCCCGACACGCCCGTTAGAGTGCATGATGACTTCATGACCCGATCGAAATACCATGGCCCCAATCCGACACCATGGCACCAGGATGACCCCACGAATATCCTTTTGAAGGATGAGCGGCCCCAAGAAGTGACCCCGTGACTCCTGATGTGAGCCCGTGATGCCAAGATGGATGCAACCCGCCTCTCTGTCTCTGTCGCTGTGTCTCTCTCTCCCCCTCTCTATCTCTCTGCCTTTTCCTATATTCGTATTGATCGCGATGTGTTGGCACCACGTACGTTAGGCAGCAAATACTGCACTACATAGGTTGCACCACGTAGCTTGCACCACAGATTTTATATAGCATCGCCTTAGCCACACACAGTGCGTATCACAGCTTGCACCAAATAGCTTACACCACAGAGATTGCACCACGCAGATTGCACCGCATAGCTTGCAGCGCACATACTGCACGTAGACCTGCATCATATAGCTCACAGCACATGTATTGCTCCACATAGCTTGCACCACACCGCCTGCACCACGAATACTGCACCACATTGCTCCGTAGCCATTTTGGCTCAAGTTCGAAACGCTGCCCCGGCGCTTCGAGCTTGGACGCTGCCGAGGGATTGGCCCGAGCCCGAGGTTAGGCCTCACAATCTTTTCTACTTGTGCGCCAAAGCACGCGGCGCTCAGTTGTAAGAACCACTTTTCGGATTACTCCAGTTTCCCCTTCGGCCACGATGTCGGGTTCGTTTGACGTTCTGGCCGCGATCGGCTCGATGAAGAACGAGCTGCTCACAGCGATGGGAGCAGCGAGCGCAAGGACGGATTCACTGGAGTTGCATATTCAGGGCTTGCAGGCCCAGCAAGTCTCATCGATGCAGGAGATGCAGAATTTGGTAAGTACGATGTCGGCGCAGTGGGAGGAACGTTTTCAGCAGGCGACGGGCTCTTCGATAGTCGTTGATGAGAGAGGCGCCTGGCACGACTGCAGCGCTAACACCAGTACACCTTCGGCCTTGGTAGCGATCGAGGCCAGGATGGAGGCCAAGTTTAGAACATTCAGAAGCAGCTCTCGGCGATCTCACGTTCGCCGTCGGCCGCTGCGATTTCAGTTAGTGGGGGCAGCCGTAAGCGCCCACTGCTGCACGCATCGCCTGAGATGTTCGCGGGCCCGTTGCAGCACAATGAGAAGAACCAGCACAACCCATGCAGACTTTGGATTCGTTGTTGGCCGCGTGAGGTGCTCTCGCAGTCCTGCAAGGAGCACTGGGAATGGCATAGAACTCAGGCCCCTCAGGATATAGTTGCGGATGCGGAGCCTTCGCTCCAGCGCACGAGTCGCTTTTACTCCGTGAGTGTCAAGACAGAGGAAACGGCGCCGCGTTTCAAGCAGCGGGCCTTGCCACGCCATCTGTGTGGAGTGACTACCGTGACAAAGCCAAAGACGTTCGCGATCCGTGTTCGTGGTGATATGCTGCTGCCAGCTCGCATGAGGAAGAACGCCCTGTCGTGCTTGTGGGAACCTGTGAAGCTCTTGAGCACAGGCCTTTGGGATGGATCTCTTGGGATGGGTTGCCCAGGATATAGATCAAGCCTCTTTCAGATCTCAACCGCCTCGGACTCGTGGGCCTTGTCCGCGCTGAAATCGGAGGACGGCCAGTTCGTGATCGTACCCAGCCGCGCTGAGTTCTACCCGTGGAAGTTTTCTGACGCGGAGATCGATTTCATCGTCGACACTGCTGCGAAGAATAAGCCATACCTCTAGGACGGGGCGTCGCGGATACCCGCGGTCAGATCTTGCCAGGCACAGAGTCAGCTGTGGCATGGGTGCGCCATCCGTGCAGATGATCGCGATCCAGCTGGGCCCCCTGAGCCCGCCGCGCTGCTTTTTTCTGTTGATATGTTGCCGCCTGTCTCGCTGCCATAAATTCGCGATGCGCCGTGCGAGTTGCCGTGTCGTGAGTTTGCTGTTCCTGTCTGCCCTCCCGCCCCCTTCTCCGTATGTCAATGGAATGTTGGTGGAATGATCATGTCCACTCACTCCCTCCGTCAGGATCGCGCCCAGGAGAAGATGAGTATGTTCGAACGTCTGCGTCTCTTCCAGGATGTCGTCGCTGCCGAGGAAAACCACGGTCACGCAGGTGATATCGACCATCTCTCTCTATGCAGCTCACTTCTCACCTCTTTGGCTGCGCGATCTTCCCTGATCGCGCTGGCACCAGTGGTCTGATCACTGCCGTCAGCAAGAAATGTGCTATTCATTTTTTCGAAGGTTGACCACCGACCTGATTGAAGGCAAGGTGCTTCTGACTGAGATGCCGGGCCCTCACGGCCAGTGCAACATCGCTGATATCCACATGCCTAACCTATCCGACAACATTAGCAGACACCGCTCTGTGCTTCGCGTGATCCGCCGTGAGTTTCGGATGTCAGCTGAACATCCTATGATTATCCTCGGACTGGAATTGTACTCTGGAGGGCGATGGGGCTCCAGAAAGCGCGCGGAGGGCTCTGGAGTCCAGGGGGTCGTAGGCATGCGCAGGCGTTCCACAACATCCGGCCTGATCTTATCGAGTTCCACCAAGGTATGGACACGCGTAGGGCCATTGTAGATGACATGATTGACCGCGCAGCGCGGCTGGATTGCACTTGCTGCTCGCTGCCCAGCGCCATTCTTGCGGATGCGACTATCTCAACGCCCACAACCGTCCGTCTAAAGATCGATATGCCCTCTGACCAAATCCCCGTCGTGTCGTGCATCTCGACGCGCGCCCCTGACCAGTCCGAGTGCCAGAATATTCCGCTGTGGCTGGCCACGTCCCCAGAGTTTGCCGACGGGCCGGGCAGGCCCCTACTTGCGCCGCCTGCTGCCAGCGAGAGCCACGCGCGACTGGCATGGACCAAAGTCTGCGCGCTTTCTGCGGCCGCGCGCGCTCGTTGACGCATTGAGCTTCGAGTGGCTAGTACAGATGAGGGGTGTCATTATTAGTCTATGGCTGCGCTTCGTGGCCTACGGTTGCAGAGCGTCACGATGATTGATGATGCTTTTGTGTCTTGCCCCAAGCTATCATAACTTATTGATGACGCTACTCGTGTATGTGCTGATCTGTTTCCCCTCTGCCAGCATGTTCGCGGGCTACGCGTGGAGGTTCACGACGCTGAGACTTCGGAACTTGAGAATCTCCCTCCCGGCGATTTCCAGAGGCAGGGGGAAGGGGAGATGGTCGCTCGCCGCAGAAGTGTTTGGCGGCAGTTCCGTCGTCGCACGTGGCTTCGAGGAGCGGCGGGCGAAAATGGCGCCCCGCGCCCGCGGCCTGCGCCGAGACTCCGAGGCTCCATTGGGGGCGAGGTGTCGCGCGAGATGCAAGAGGGCCGCGCCGAGTGGCCCGAGCCATTGTCTCTTGTCCGACAGGTGCCATTAGGAGCGGATGTGTCTTGGGAAGTGGACTATGAGACGTTCTTCGAGGACGTTATCAAGACTGGTAAGCGTGGCGGGCCTGGGCTTGATGGGATACCTCACTACTGTTGGCTTCTTGGAGATGCCCCGCGGTTCCTGTTTGATTCTCCGCGTCCAAAGTGGGGTTCTTGTTTTCTCTGCACACCCCGCGCAGGAACACTCACCCCACCCCCTCTCCTCTTCTGCCTTCGCACACTCACTCGCTCACTCATCATCATCACCACTCACTCACACTCGCACTCACTCGTGCTCTCTCATCATCAACATCATCATCGTCGCTCGCGCTCTCTCACACGCTCAGTCACTCACAGACCCATCATCATCATCATCATCATCACTCGCACTCTGTCACACGCTCACTCATGCAAATACTCACCTGGAGGAAGTCTCAGGCGGGAGTTCGTCTGTGAGTGAATTGTGAGGAAGTCTCAGGCGGGAGCCCCCTCCCTATGGGGCCCGCAGATCATGTTGGTCATCCGAGCGGGTCATCCAAACCTTGTAACTGTCGTCACTTTTGAGCTCCTCAAGCTTGAGTACGGAGGAAGTCCCAGGCGGGAGCTTCGTCTGTGAGTGAATTGCGAGGAAGTCACAAGCGGGAACCCCTCCCTATGGGGCCCGCGTTTCATGTTGGTAATCCGAGCGGGTCATCCAAACCTTGTAACTGTCGTCACTTTTGGGCTCTTCAGGCTTGAATTTGAAGAAAGTCTCAGGCGGGAGCCTCGTCTGTGAGTGAATTGCAAGGAATTCTTAGGCGGGAGCCCCCTCCCCATGGGGCCCGCAGATCATGTTGGTAATCCGAGCGGGT